GTTTTGAGTGTAGCATAGGAACTTAACAATACCTGGTCCTTTACATTTTAACTCAGGCTTTGCAGCTTAGAAGCAGCTTTACAATGCCTGGTCCTTTACATTTTAACTCAGGCTTTGTAGCTTAGAAACTTTACCCTTTCAGTAGGACTATTAAATCATACCTTGAAGTAACACAGTCCATTGATAACATTTAACAGGTTGATGATGATTATATATTTAGGTACTGTAAAAGCAAATTTTTTCTTATCCTGAGGTTGGAGAGGGATAGTAAAAAAAACAATCTTTTAAATTAATAACAGAAATTGACCATTTATTTGGAATCATTGTAGGAGAGGGAAGTCCTAATTGTAATCTCCCCATAGGTTTAATACATTTCTTAATTTCCCTTAAATCTGTCAATAGTCACCATTTTCCTGACTTCTTCTTAACAACAAATTCAGTAGAGTTCCAAGGTGATGTGGAATATTCAATATGTCCAGCCTGTAATTGTTTAGTAGCCAATTGTTTTAATGCCTCCAGCTTTTCTTTATTTAAAGGCCACTGGTCAATCCATTTAAGAGTACTGGTTAACTGTGTTAATGGCATTGCTTGAGGGGACTGAACAGTGGTTATAAGTTTTTTGAAGGAATGTGAATATGTGCTCCAAGTTGAGAAAAAATATCTCGGCCCCAAATATTAATTGGGACATTAATTATGTAAAAAGTTGTTAGAAACCTGATATTTTCTAAGGTATGACATGATAGAGGGCCAGAACTGACCCACACATCTGCCACTGCCCCTAATCCATTTAATGTTATTTGGCATTTTTGTTTAGGCCATTCTTGTGGCCATTGTCTTATAGAGATAACTGAGACATCAGCCCCAGTATCTAATAATCCTTCAAAATATTTTTCTTGAATATTAAGAGTTAAAGAGAGTCTCTGATCAGTAATTAAAGTTTACCAAAATATATGCTTCCCTGTGCTACCAAATCCTCCAGTTCTTGATTGATTTTTAGAAAGAAWTTTTTTTAAAAAAGGTAACAACAAAATCTGGGCAATGCATTCTCCACTAATCAATGAAAGGGTTTGGGTAGAATATGTCATGATGAAAATTTCACCTGTAAAATCAGGATCAACAATTCCAGGAATTACATGGATGCCTACTAAGGCAGAGCTACTAAGTCCGACAATTAATCCAAAACTCTTAGAGAGAAGAGATCCATAAACACCAGTCTTTATTTTGTAAGTACCACCTCTGGGAGACATTAAGATATTTTCACTAATAGGTAAGTCAGCAGCAGCACTTTGTTGGGTAGCTGCATAAAGATTATCAATATTAACTTAGTATTATCCTGAGATTGTTTGGTGGGTGACCCAACTCAGGGGTCATTGTTGCTGGGAAACAAGTGAGAAGTGGTCCCTSGTATTGTTTATGGGCCCCAGGGATGACACCCATTGTCTGGTTTACATGTTGGCAAACTTTAGGAGGTATCTTTTTCATCTTGGGAGATATACTATTATTACTATTATTACCTTTTTTTTGCGACAATCTTTTAGAAAATGACCTGCTTTTCACCAATTAAAGCAAGCTCCTGATTTATTGGGTTTAAGGGCTCCAGCCATTGCTGTAGCAAATATAGAAGCTTGATTTTTAATTCCTCCCACTCCAGCACAAGCTCTCACATTTTCACCCAATGAGGCGTTTTGTCCTTTTAATGGCCCCCAAGTACGTTTACATTCAGGTTTTGTATTTTCAAATGCTAATGTTTCCAATAATATCTTTGCTATTTGATCTTGACCCACCGCCCTCATTACTTCTGCACGCAGTCTCGCAAGAAAATCAGTATAAGGTTCAGTAGCCCCTTGTATGGTTTTAGTAAAGGAAGGTTGTGCTTGACCAGTGGGTACTACACRTCTCCAAGCTCTCAAGAAAACCTGTCGAACTTGTTGAATATCTTGATCTGTATATTGAGCCTGTTCTCTTAAGGCACGGTAATTACCTTCCCCCATTATCTTATCCTCCATAGGTCCAGGGGGATTTTGAGTCTCATTCTCTTGAGCTTGTTTCCGTGCCTCATCTTCCCACCAACTTCTCAATTGCAACCACTGAGATCCTTCTAAAACTGTTTTTGCTAATGCCTCCCAGTCCAAAGGAATAAGTAATTTAGAAGTTCCTAAATTTTCTAACATACCTAGCACAAAGGGAGACTGAGGGCCATATTGAGAGACCACAGCTTTTAAATCCTTTATAAACTTGTATTCCATTGCAGTATACTGAACATCAATCATTTGGGGATTATGAGGGTTTTGTTGTCTAGTAATAGGAAACAAATGTGGTAGATTAATAAAACCGCCAGGGGGAGCTGGAAGATCATCATCATCATCATATATCATAATAAGAGAAAATGAAAAGAGCTGATGTTCTCTACCCACATCAACTTTAGACTTTGTAATTGGAAAAAGGGAAGCATTAGAAGGAGCAGTAGGGTTTAAGAGAGGACCTTCGCTTTTTTAATTTCGTTTGTTCTACAAAGGCCTCCATTATTTTTTTCATACTAGAGTCACTATCTGAACTTTCTAAATCCCTTTCATCATCCAAATCTGATTTAGGAGAATCACCTACAGTATCACAGATATCTTTCCTGGGCTCCGTTTTATTAATTTTAGTATCAGATTTTGACATATCAACTTTGACTTCATGATGAGAACCCTTTTCACTATTACTCTCTAATAATTGTAATGTTTGAGTAATAGCGCCACACAGTGTCCAAATCTTTAAAGAAATAACATTTCCTGCATGATGCTGCTTATGGAGCTCTTTTTGAATGAGTTTCCATTTCCCTAAATTTAACTGGACCTTGGTTTGATACTGGAACCAGTAACAATGACATTCTATAATTTTAAATAACTCCCTAAGTCTCTTATGAGATGTTTTTACATCTATGTAATGCAATAATCCTTGTAGTAATTCTACATATTGTTCCTTTAAGGATTGGGAGTTTCCCATGTTAATTCCAAAAGTCCCCCTTTCATTTTCTCAACCGGGGGTGCTTACCCTTTTGGTGCTGAATACTGTCAACTACACCAATTGTTGCAGAGAATTCAAATGCAGGTCAGCATGAGCAAGAAGAAAAAGAAGAAGCTCCCTTTATTGAATATAGCAGTCTTTATATAGTATTGTGAACAAAGAAGGCACCATTCCAACAGCAATGACTCAGGTCTATAAGCTTGCAGAACATTATGTGCAGAAGTAGCTTACTAATCAGAAGTAACTTGCTGATCATGTCTTAATCTACTCTTGGGCTGGAGCATTCTGAGCTCTGCTCCTTAAGAACAGATGAACATTCTTGTTTGCAAGTAATGTTCTTTTCTCAGAGTCCTTYCAGCCCACTTGGCAGAACATCCTGTTTGCAGGCAAGCTCCACCAAGGACCAAAAAGCATCTTGTTTGCAAGCACGCAAGCAGTTATCCTATCTGATTCTCTACATCCTTGGCAGAACATCCTGTTTGCAGACAACCTCCACCAAAGACTGCAAAGAGTCTTGTTTGCAAGCATGCAAGCAGTCACGTCTGATTCTCTACACTTATGTATAGAAATGCATTTGATTTGTGGGTATTGATTTTGCTACTTTGCTGAATTCATTTATTATTTCTAGAAGTTTTCTGGTGGAATTTTTTGGATCTTCTAAATATAGAATCATGTCGTTGGCAAATATTGATAGTTGGAGTTCTTCTTTTCTATGCATATCCCTTTAATTTATTTTGTCTGATTGCTCTGGCTAGAATTTCAAGGACTATGTTGAATAGAAGTAGTGAAAGAGGGCATCCCTGTCTTGTTCCAGTTTTTAGAGAGAATGCTTCCAATTTTTCTCCATTTAGAATGATTTTGGCTTTGGGTTTAGCATAGACAGCTTTTACAATGTTGATGTATGTCCTACTATTCCTAGTTTTTCTAGTGTTTTGAACATGAAGGGGTACTGTATTTTATTGAATGCTTTTTCAGCATCTATTGAGATAATCATATGATTTTTGTCTTTAAATCTATTGATGTGATGTATTACATTTATTGATTTCTGTATGTTGAACCAACCTTGCATTCCTGGGATGAACCCCACTTGATTGTGGTGCATTAGCTTTTGAATATATTTTTATATGCAATTTGCCAGGATTTTATTGAGAATTTTTGTGTCTATGTGCATCAGGGATATTGGTCTGAAGTTTTATTGCCTTTTTGTCTTTGACTGGTTTTGGTATCAGGGTGATGCTAGCCTCATATAATGAGTTTGGAAGGGTTCCCTCCTTTTCTATTTCATGGAATAATTTGAGGAGTATTGGTTCTTTTTTGAAGGTCTTGTAGAACTTGGCTAAAAATCTGTATGGTTCTGGGTTTTACTTTGTTAGTAGGCTTTTGATGTCGTCTTCTATTTCCTTGCTTGAAATTGATCTCTTTAAATTGTGTATGTCCTCCTGATTTGGTTTGGTAGATCTTATGTTTCTAGAAATTTGTTGGTGTCATTGAGATTTTCTATTTTATTGGAGTATAAATTTTCAAAATAGTGTTTAATGATCTTCTGTATTTCAATAGTGTCTGTGATGATAATTTCTTTTTTATCATTAATTTTATTGCGTTTTCTCTCTCCTTCTCTTCATTAGTTGGCCAAGGACTTATCAGTTTTATTTATTTTTTGAAGAACCAACTTTTCTTTTTGTCAATTTTTGAATTGATTCTTATGTTTCAATTTCATTGATTTCAACACTGATTTTAATTATTTCCTGTCTTCTGCTACTTTTTGGTTTTGATTTGTTCTTTTTTCTAAGGCTTTGAGATGTAATGTTAGGTCATTGTTGRCTTTTTACTCTTTTAATTAATGAGCTCAATGCAATGAACTTTCTTTTTAACACTGCCTTCATAGTGTCCCAGAGATTTTAATATGTTGTATCAGTGTTCTCATTTATCTCAAATAAATTTTTTATCTCCTTCCTGATATCTTCTGCTATCCATTGCTCATTGAATATCATATTATTTAGTCTCCAGGTTTTGGAGTAGCTTCTATTTTTTTATTTTATCATCAATTTCTAATTTCATTACATTATGATCTGGTAGAATAAAGGGTAGTATCTCTATTTTTTAAATATTTGCTGAGATAATGCCTTATGGCATAATATATGGTCTATTTTAGAGAAGGATCCATGTGCTGCTGAGAAGAAGGTATATTTGCTCGATGATGGATGAAATACTCTATATGTGTCTGTTAAGTCTAAAGCATTGATTGTATTATTGAGTTCTATAGTTCTTTGTTTAGTTTTTGTTTGGAAGACCTATCCAGTGGTGAGAGAGGTATTTTAAAGTCACCCATTATTATTGTGTTGTAATCTACTTGCTTCTTGAAATTCAGAAGGGTTTGTTTGATATACATAGAGTCTCCATTGCTTGGGGCATAGATATTTATGATTATTATGTCTTGTTGATGTATGGTTCCCTTAAGCAGTATGAAATGTCCTTTAAAATATATATATATATATGCAATATCTTTATTTATTTTTATGTGGTGCTGTACATCAAACCCAGTGCTTCACATACACAAGTGAGGYGGTCTACCACTGAGCTACAGCCCCAACCCTGAAATGTTCTTCTTTATCTCTTCTAACTTTGGTTTGAAGTCCACTWTATCTGATATTAGGATGGAAACCCCTGCTTGTTTACATGGCTCATGTGAGTGATATATTTTTTTCCCATCCGTTTATCTTCAGTCTGTGGATGTCTTTTCCTATGGGTCTCTTAAAGACAGCATATTKTTGGATCTTTTTTTTTTWATCCAATCTGCCAGGCTATATCTTTTAATTGATGAGTTTAGGCCATTAACATTCAGGGTTATTATGGAGACATGGTTTATATTCCTGGTCATTTGGTTTTTAATTTGAGTTGGTTTCTCCTTTGATTAGATTTTTCTTTAGTGTAGTTCCTCCATTTGCTGATTTTTCATTATTGTTTTCATTTCTTCCTCATGGAATATTTTGCTGAGGACGTTCTATAGTGCAGTCTTTTCTAGTTTTAAGTTCTTTTTTTGTTTATCATGGAAGGTTTTTATTTTGTCATCAAACCTGAAGCTTCATTTCGTTGGCTATAAGATTCTTGGTTGGCATCATTTTCTTTTAAGAGTTTGGTGTATGTTCTTCCAGGATSTCCTAGCTTTGATGGTCTGGGTTGAGAAATCTGCTGAGATTCGAACTCATTTCCCCCTATATGTAATCTGAAACTTTTATCTTGCAGCTTTTAAAATTCTATCCCTATTATGTATGCTAGGCATTTTCATTATAGTGTGCCTTAGTGCATATCTGTTGTGATTTTGTACATTTGGTAAACTGTAAGCCTCTTATATTTGATTTGCTAATTCATTCTTTATGTTTCAGAAATTTTCTGATATTATTTCATTGAAGAGATTGTGCATTCCTTTGGTTTGTATCTCTGTGCCTTCCTATATCCTGATAACTCTTAGATTTGTTATTTTCATGTTGTTCCATAATTTCTGGAGGTTCTGTTCATGGTTTATCACCATTTGCACCATCTTGTGTGGCCAACTTTATTTTCAAGATGATATATTTAGTCTTCATTGCTTAGGAGTCTTTCTTCCAAGTGCTAGTCTGTTGTAGATGCTTTCTATTGAATTTTTTATTTGATTTATTGCTTCCTTCATTTCAAGGATTTCTGGGGTTTTTTTCCAGAGTTTCTCTCTCTCTCTTTTTTCTTTCTTTTTTTTCTTTTTTCTTTCTTTCTTTCTTTCTTTCTTTCTTTCTTTCTTTCTTTCTTTCTTTCTTTCTTTCTTTCTTTCTTTCTTTCTTTCTTTCGGTGCTGGAGATTGAACCCAGGGCCTTGTGCATGCAAGGCAAGCACTCTACCAATTGGGCCATATCCCTAGCCCCCTCTAGCTCTCTCTTGAAGTTATCTTTTGCTACCTGTATTTGCTATCTTTTCTCTTTGTTGGAGTGATCAATTTTTGCCTGTATTTGCTCTCTTAATTCATTCTTTGCTTTGTAGACCATTTTAATTATGTAAATTCYGAACTCCTTCTCTGACATTTCAGCTATTGTGCTGTCAATGGAATCTATTATTGTATCAGCATGATTTGTTTCAGGCACTTTCTTGTTTCTTCATATTGTCTGTATGTCTTCCTCTCTAGCAGTGTGAATTCAAGGTATTACAGTTTCTACTTTATAATCTTGTAGCATCCCTGCAGGAACCTGGGTGATGATCTTGTAGGCCCTGGCTGTTGTCACAAGATGGAAGCTGGTGGGGAAAACCACCACATGCTTTGGTAGATGGGACAAATCTCCCACTATGTGGCGGGCCAGGGTCGTGGTCACCTGCTCCTACTCCTTCTGCACAGGCGACACAGAAGGGGTCACGGTTGTCTGCTCCCATGTGTCATGTTTTAAAAATGAATTTGCAGCTTGCTTAGGATGATCCATCTTTACTTATGTTCCCTGCTCAGCTATGAATGCTGTTTTTTTTTTTTTGTAGATGGACATAATACCTTTATTTTGTTTATTTAGTTTGTTTATGTGGTGCAGGGATCGAACCCAGCACCTCACGCATGCTAGGCAAGTGTTCTGACACTAAGATACAGCCCCAGCCCCCTATGAATGCTTTTCATAAAAGAAAATTGGCTTGGGCTTCTTGTGGCTAAGGTAGGTTGGAGATCTGTTGGCAACATAACTTAGAAGTCCACATCTTAACACAAAGCAGTGTTGTCCAGGTATTTCTAAATTTCACATTTAGCAGAAAATAGATACCGTTTCATATATCCAGTAGGAGTTCAATAAAGGAATTGCTGTACATGTTTTCCTTTTCCTGGAGAAAATGGCAGGATGGCCTRATTCTCACAACCAGTCTCCACTTCACAGTCTTGGGGTCACTTGGCAGTGCTCCCTCCACACACAAGCTCTCCTACTCTTCAGCTAGGGAAAAAAGAACAGCATTTAAGAAATTTTTAAATTTTTGTTCTAATTAGTTTTACATGATAATAGAATGCATTTTGACATATTGTATACAAATGGAGCACTAGTTATTCCTCTGGCTGTACATGGAGCAGAGTCACACTGGTAGTGTAATCATACATGTATATAGGGTAATAAT